AAAAATGTCGCCATTGGTATGATTCTAGTAGGAGAAACAGTGAAGATATTGAAGCTGGAGAACTCATGCGTAGAGTAATTAGGGTTCCAAGCTGCGGGAATCAGCAGAGTTTCAGGCAGGCATGAAACACGAGTTTAAGTGCACTGAAGAAATTGATACGCAGAATAAATAGGGCTGTCCTGGCCATGCAGGTCAAACAACAATTTCCAATGAATTAGTTTTCGTAGGAGCTGGTTTGGGATGCATACCAAGAAGCTATGTAGCTCCCATTGGTAAACCATATAGGCTGTAATACTATTTCGGCGATGATGACAGTCTGGCATTCTCGTCAGGGATTTGTAAGAGCCGGTAACTATATGATTATCATGTGAGTCCATGATTGATTGCGAATTTCGAGTATATCTTTGCATTTATCTGTTATATTTTGATTGGTTAATCTTCCGTTTTTCTACTTTTGCGCCTTCCTAGGACTAGCTACTGTTTCCCCTGATATCGTTGTATACAACTAGTAACGTACAGTCTTTGCAGATTCCTCCGGAGATTCGTCGTAGTTTTCACTTATAAGGTCTAGTTTGACATGGTTGTACTGTTCTCAATTGCATTGTGCAACTCTTTTTATCTAGCGCGGTGAGAAATCCGAGTTCCTCAATTTCTTCTATCGACGCTGTATTAATACTTTGGTTCGACCATTGTTTGAGAATACAGCGAAGGACGTCCTTGAAAAAGGTAGGTGTCATAGTTCTTTTTCTTCAATTTTCCTAACTAGACGATTACCATACGGCGCTCGTGTTGAACCACATTTTGGAACTGCTAACTTTTTGCATTGAAACACATACATATCACATGAAGAACTACTGCCTTCATCGTGACTTGCTCAAGCGTGTATTGGTTCTTCTCCAGTCCTCACACAAATTTCTAGTGTTGAGTAAGTTCAGTTTCAGCTAATTGACACCCTTTAGCTGCGTTGCGTCTCTTGCGTCGGGTTATTCATATGAAGGAGGAATTTTATAATCGATACCTCATCAAGAATAATCTGTTCCGACCGGTGATCAAGTTGTTCGTGGTTAATGGGCATAGGTACAATCTTGTGGATTCAGCTATCATCGAGATGTTTGACCACATCCGTACCGAGGAAATCACATCACTAATTACGCACGTGGTTGAGAACTTCTGGGACATTTTAAAAACAGTGACTTATGTTCCTACTTTTATCGATTTCAAACGAACTTATGATCATACCCACCGACCCAGTCGGCCAACTATGGTCGGTTCCGTTGGTCAGCCTGGTACAATGGATGTGTAAGTTATTTTGTCCAATCATTTTACGTCATACACTTGTATCCGATGTCAAATTTATCTCAATATGGTAATCCCGTACCTATCATTTGTTTTACAAAAAGCCTCTCTTTTATTATATACATTGTATACCAGAAAAACCTATAAAACCTACGTTTGAACTTGGATGGAACAAAACAATTATGAAGGATCCCGGCTAGACTGGTTTCGGGAGAATATTCCACCGTTGGTATCTGTGAGAGTCGATCCAAGTCATCCAGCTGTCGCGTAGTTTTTGGCATTAGCAGCAAGTTTGAACGCGATCCTCTGGTTCAGCAGACCTGCCGTTCGTGTTGTTAATTCTCTAAATTTGCCTCGCTTTCGTTTAGGATACCATATTATTCACCGATCAAATCGTAACTTTGTTTTTTATGCATGTACTGATTATGTAGACTTCCATTCTAGTGAAGAAACTGGTAGCTTTCAATAGCATCCCACCGGTCATCCCATTTGGTCAAATTGAGTACTCGCTCGAAGGTTTTGATATGCTTCCACTGGTTGACGATAGAAGGTATCAAGGTATCAATATCAGTTTGCTTTACGTCGCTTGTCTAACCCAGCTGTTTATGCCCGATTTGTAGCCGAGGCATGAGTTAGGAGTAGTGTGACGTGGCGGTATGGATCCACCGTGAAATCGGATCAGACATGCTGGGATCAACACAAGAGTAGGTGCCAACTGCAACGTCAACACTGGGAAAGACTTGGAAAAATAAAAAAATAGTGGACCGTGGAATAGTTTCTTCCGCATAATCGGAATTCGTTCGATACCGGACACCAATAGTATCTACCATTAAAGTAAGCAGAGTATTCACAACAGCGGCTTGATCTCTGGCCAAGTGTTTTAGCGAACAAATCAGTTAACTTGATGCTAACCTGTTTATTACTTTGATTGCATTCAATCTCTGACGCGAGGAAGGGCAGCAGGATCAGATGGGCTATTTCCCACTCTTTAAGATAGAGGGGTGGGTGATAATCTCATTAGCTCTATTGCTGCCTTACTGCACAACATTTGGACGCAAGGGCGCATTCCTCCATTTCGGAGAGAATTACTGATCGTTCCCATTTTAAAGAAAGAACATCACAGCGATTGCGAAAACCACCGCGGGATAAATTTGATCCCAATAGTCATAGCCTCGTACTTCGACGTCTGACTCCTTAAGAAAAATCAATATCTTTGAACAGCAAGCCAGATTCCGGCCTGACCGTCGATGTATTGATTAAATTTTTACGTTGCCTCAGGTCCTTGAGCTGCAACATACCCATCGTCGACCAACGTTCGTGGTGTTCCTTGACCTGGAACGGGCCTTCAACTCAGTTGACCGCGAAGCTCTGATGGATTCCCTTCTTCGAAAAGAGATATTCCAGAAGTACGTTAACTCACTGAGGACAATGTATTCACATACCTCTGGCGAGTGAGGATTTACAACCAACTAAGTAGACCGTTCGTCCAGGTTACCCTCTTTCACCATTCCTGTCTACTTTCTTCGTGAATGAAATTCTGAAGAACGCACTAAGTGAACCCCAAAACATAGGCAGCTAGAGAAAAGCTGGGCGATTTAGGGTACGCCGATGACATCGCCTGTCTGTTCAATTGCATGAAGGACGCGCTAAACGCTTTTAATAAACTAAGAATCAACAAAGCGAATTTTGCGTCAGTGTTTCCCTCCTAGTCCTTTGTTATTGTAATCAGTTACTTTATATAGCGATCATCACATGGCACTCATGCACCTTATCCAGGAAATTGTTCACTACAATAACGGTGAATCATTATCCTCTCAAACCGAAATCAGCTGTGAGTTATCATGCGGAGTATTTTCTTGTTTCAATTACAGTTTATCCCTGGTAAATGCTGCGTCGTCTCGATTTCAACGTGATCCACGATCTCTGGAACATGAAGAAGAAAGATGGTTTGACCAGGACGAAGAGGAAGATGACGAAGATGAAGAAAATCATATATTCACTCATCAGTCTGCTGCGTTACTCAACGGTGCCCTCAATGGTGTGGGTACGTCAACCCCCCTCAGCAGTTCGATCCCTGAGGCACTGTCCTCAATGCCTAATTTCGATTCGCATGCCAACCCGACAGCGACGGGATCAGATTTACTTGGTCTGTCTTCCACGGACAGTCATCCCTCGATCGCTACCTTAACTTCATTATCCCCTGGTACTGCGCATTCATTGCCAAATGACTCCAGATCTTCGGCTTTCACTTCATCCACAGCCACCAACTTATTGAAAACAGGAAATTCTTCGGAGGAAACGCCGTCAGTTTCCGGTTCTACGTTGTCACGTACTCGCCAGAACGACCTTAGCCCCGATGCATTGCCTACAAGATCCTATTTGTCGCGTCAAAATAATTCGATTGCAATTCAAATTAGGTTATCTTTACCTGATTCGGGAACAAACGATGCATTTGCTGGTGGTGACGTGGAACGCTCCATGGATGAGCCACATTCCAGTGCTACCGCAGCTTGCGAGGCAGTGGTTAGCCAATCGGAGATCGGGGAATCTTTCTCAGACAACGGAGGATCTGCGTCAGATTCGTCTGATGTTGGCGAGGAAGAAACTTTTGATGGCGAAGTTTCTTCCGGTCATCGGCTGTTGTTAGGAAAGCGCTCTTCATCTTCGGAGCATGATGCCAAAAATGGAAAGCGTACCAAGAAGTCACGACAGCCTGTAAAACCACAACCGACGTTGACATCGGTTAGTAGTTTATTTTCTGATGATCAGGGTGATGAAAACCCAACCGTTTCTCCGGATCCCGGAGTTTCTGATGTGGATGAAAATGTAAGTGATATTTTGCTGGATTAGCCAAGAAAATTCTTTCGGGCCCATGCTGATAGCTGACTTTTCAGCTTGCCAAGTTTTCTCTCGACGGAATGAATAGCAGCTGGCGTATTCTTTTGTTTCGTTTAACTTGCCTTACAGTAGCATCAAAACCTACCACTTACATCATCTGGAGTTAAGTATGTGTTGCTTTAAAAGTGAGCAGACCATATAAAAGCAGGAATTCACAGAAACTGCAGTTTCACCGAATTATTGCAAGATACAATTAGGAAGAATTTTTTGGGAAACCTGAGCTGGTCATCTACCGTGTTTTAGTAGTTTCGTATATTTGGATTTTCTTGAGCTACTTTACCCAGTGTACAGTGTAATTTATTGTCCAATGATAAAATAGGCTTTGAGTTATTAATTTACATGGATGCAGTAATATCCGATAACCCGGAGTGGTGACCAGGTTTCAAATTGCTCCTTGAAACGACATTATTTCTTGGCATTTTCGACATGATCGCTCATGGTCATCATTTGGCTTCAGACCCATCTTTATTTTGAGCAATCCTAGTATTACGTCAATTTACAGCTCCCTTAGTATCATTTCTTTGTGTTTCTCCATTACTTTTTGGTAGATCGGTATTTAAACAATTGTTGAAAGTGCATTAGTGAATTTAACCACTAAAAACCGATAGAGGGTTTGCGATTCACTTTATTTACGATAAAATTATTTGTGACGACGGACCAAGACCACTTGATGACTTCTTTGTTTGCACTAGTCAGCAAGACGCATTTTGTGTCAGATTCAGAAATGTGATTTTTTAATTCATCTTATGTGTTATATGGGCTCATTTAAACCGCATTCTCTGACTCTAGGATGTCCATCTCATTTTCCGAGTAAGAAAGTGTAACGATAAGTTTATAACCGATTACCTTCGACGGAACAGTGCCTCATTTTTTAAGACAATGTGAACCATGTTTCCCATTTGACTTACCATTTATCATAAAAACGTCTAGCATCACTTATGTTGCTGGTTTTATTTGAGGTTCTTTAGTCACGCATTTACCTGCGAACTGTTGATTGTAATACACTGACCGTACTTTTTCACTCACTCCAAGATGACCGATCAAGATCGAATGCCAGTTGGCTTGGTGGACTATTCAGATGAGGAAAGCGAAGATGACGAAAGATCTGAGGCTGACTCTTGTAACGACTTTGCAGACAACGAAACGAAGAAAGGTGCACTTTCTTTGGCTACCAAGGTGACGGATGAAGGTGTTGTTGATGGTGGCTGTGAGGTCTCATCTAGTCAGTCTGTGACTGAAATAGCGTAACCAGAGTTATTTCCCGCATTCTGTCCTTTAACATGTTTACCAGTGTCTATTGACCCCCGGTTAATGTGCCTTGATCTGTCGTGTTTAAAGTTGTGTTCTATGGCCACGCCAGACCAAGTTCTCAGCTGACGGCCGTCCATTTTGTGTACGCAGAGAAACCATTCCTTGTCATCATATTTCCAATGCTGGAATTAAATTAACAGCCACACCTAACTACCATCTCAAGTGGTATTTGATGGTTTGATTTTTAGCTGTTTGTTGCTAGTTCCTTATATTTTGACTTATCCAGGGGTCCGAGTCACAGCCGCCCTATGCGAGGCACAAATGTAAATAACCCATATCAATGAATCCTTTGGGACCCGTGCGTTTCATATGTTGAATAGCCCTTCACCTTCATTACAGTCCTTTTTTTCGGTTGCTTTGCACACTCGAATTTTCTGAAGACCACAAAACGTTTCGTCTTACTTGACAGAAAACCTATGTAAATGTGATCTAATCCCATCCCATGTATCCGTTGATCTGTACGTCCAATCACATTCACTTTTTTCTCTATCTTGGCGGCAATGATGGTGAGGGTACACTGACCCATGACCCAGTCCCTTTGCGATTTGCGTTTCTCTATCTTCCACACTCATCAATTTTGTCCAGACAAGAATTGAGACTTCTGCACAGTCACTGCGGTGTTGTTTCACTCGTAAAAATGGTATGACGTACCCCCGTTCTCAACTCAGTACCCCCACCTTCAGTCGTACCGTGACAACGCCGCAGGTGTTCTTGTGCGTAGTCAAATTTGTCGAATTCGGCGCCTTGCAATTGTGTTTGCCCCGTATCCGTCTATTTGCAGGCAGTTATTTATTGTACAATAAATTGATTTCACCATTTAATCCTGGTTACTCGATTCTCTTATTATTCTCCTCGAGTGACTACTTTGGTCAATGATATGAATTCATATTGGGCGTTATGATGTAAATGTTCGCCAGCAGACCATTATCACTTGATAATCCTTGAAAGCTGCCAGTAACCGCCTCATGATCACCATTAATGCGAAGAATAGTGTATTTGGCATTTAACACATTGAACGTTAAAGAGCTAACTTCCTTTGATTTCGGGCCTAAGGTGAGCTGCGGATGATAAGTGCCTGTGATGAGAGTTCGGTTCATTCGTTTGGTGATTGATTTTAGCTACCCATCGGCACTAGCAATGAGTGCTGAAGTCGACGAGATTCCTTATATCGGAGTGTGGGAGCAAAANGATATATATATATATATATATATATATATATATATATATATACCTGGGAGTAAATCGATGCCGCTATCATCGCGCGAGGGCTGTTTCAAGAATTAAATCTCTTACAAGTAGAAATCGAGAGAGAGAGCAACCCTGTCGAACATCACTCTCTGTAGTGAATTCGGGTGACAAATTGCCGTAAGCTCGGACTCCGCTTCGGCTATTAGTTTAAAGGGATCGTAATATTGAAACTCCAGGCAGCGCTAGAGTTTAGAGCGATTGATTAAGTCGGAAGCCGCTTTCAGATCCAGGAAGAAAGAGAAGGTTGGTCTACGAAAAGAATGTCGGTGCTCCAAAGTTTGGCGAAAAGTGAAGATATGGTCGGTACAACGCCGACCAGGTCTAAAAACAGCCTGGCTTCCACGCGTGCGCTCTTCAAACGCGGCAGACGATCGACGGAGTATGATACTAGCGATAAGTTTAAGGGCAATGTTGATTAAACTAATTCTTCCGTGGTTTTCACAAGAGGATCTGCCACCTTCCTTGTAAATCGCGGTGGAGGGTGGTGGTTCATATGTCGATGGGGGCCAGTTTATCTGAGCCTCGAAATGTTCAGCCTATCGTTCAAGGTGGCGTTGCAGATCATGAATCAGTGTGCCATCGGATTCCTTATTTTCCCAGGGTAGGTATTCCTAGTTAGATGCGGAAGATTGCTACTATTACCTACAGCCGCAGATTTCTCCGTCCCACCACACTTTCCTGTTCGCCACTTCTCGCGGTCACTCCTCAGACCCCCGATGAGCTGCCGTTTGATGGATTTGCGCGCTGTATCATATGCGGCAACAGGTGGAAGGGTTCTGCGGGCATCCAGCAGGGCAGCGGAGATCTTTGGGATCCATCGTTTATGTTTTGAGCATGCGCGAGGGTCTGATGTTGTTTTTATTGATATGTGCACTGCTTCCTTGATTTGCTTCCAATGTTTATTAGATGCTTCGGCTGGTGGTTGAACTTAGAGGCATTCGGAGAGTTCCGCTTCGGAGGCTGATTTGCAACAATCGCTGACGTTGTATCGTGGGCATCCGTTGTCGGTGGTTTTTTTGCGGTTGTTTGCCAGGCGTAAGGAAAATTTGGCTCGTGGCAAATCGTGGTCCGTATCCGCAGGTGTTGATCAGTAAGAGCGGCAGTCTTGAATCGATCCCCCTGCGGTAACTGATAGCGATGTGGTCGATTTGGGTCTAGCGCCGTGAAGCGGTTGGCGCTCTCCGTGTTAGACGATGTCATTTCTTGTGTGAAAAGCTCGTGCTTGACAGGAACAATCCGTGGTCGGCACAGAGTTGAAGTTGGCGATCGCCGTTGTCTTTCCGGTTGGATGGGATTGCATGTGGTTCACCAAGAATCCTTTCTGATTCGTCCAGTTATCCCACCTGAGCATTGAGGTCTCCGGGGATTACCACGTCTGTTGATCGAGCACTTTGGAGTAATCAAGAAAGGTCCTTGTAGAATTCATCCTTGATTTCAGGTGTACTGCAATCGGTTGGTGCATATACCGACACGACGAGTAGGCATCGACGCTTTGTTCGGTAGCTGTAGACCCGCGCTGAACCGTTGGGACGCACAGCGCGTTGATTGGAATCCAGTCGAGAAACAAGCGTTCAGCCTTGGCTCTGGGCGCAATCCTGACATGAGCAACACCG